TTTTCGTATTCCTTAGCCGAGATTTAAAAATTTTACAAGTTTTCTAACCCTTTGCGTAATTCCAAAATCGATGAAAGTTAATATCATCTAGCGATTACAGTTTGTATAACATCTTGTTTGTATGCATCCCAGTTGATTCTCTCCTGAAGATTTCTCTGCAGCGTCTCTCTGGAAGGGTAAGACCGCACCTAAAATAATGAGGTACAAGAGAACGAATTTCAAAGTTATATGCCACTCAAGTTATTTGACGACTCTTTAATTTTCGCTTGCTAGTCTGAATTTCGTTCATGAACTCGGTTCACGCACGCTGAACAATCAGAGCAAACATGGCATTTTGTCAACCAATTAGAAGCCGACATCAAGCCTCATATGACTTGGCTTCAGCGCGCCTTCTAGCACCTACCGCGTTTGGTCCGGTTGCACGTCTCCGCTTCTTGTTCATTACGTCATTATTTATGTTAGCTGTGATTATTATATCATGTCTTGTTCGCCCCTTCATTTATACGTGATGCAATGGCTACCATAATGGCTGGCATTCCGCTGAGTCCAATTTTCCCGCCATATTATCTTGTCGTGCGAGAACCAACCTCGTTCCCAGGGCTTTCCCCGGGAACGAGGTTGGCGCGAGAACCTAATTCCCATGAATTCACTGCTTCAAATTACAAACGTGATTACTGAACAAGTTTAGCTACATTTCTGACGTTTGAGTAAACGTGTCCCATTGTTTGTGAAAATAAAAATTATACTTACGTTATGTCTAATCCATTTTTTAGTCAGTTCACTTGCTTGATTTATAAAGAATTTTTTGGAAATCATTACACATTCGGCTCCTCGACTGACCTGTCAAAAAAAAAATAACTGAAGATGACAAGGTTGTACAACAAATACAAAAAAGATGGTCACTTTTTGTGCTCATAATATTTAGCACTGCTGTGCTAAGAGGGTCTCAGTGGGGGTTAGTCATAAATCGGGCCAAAACCTTAGACGTTAGGTGTAAAAATGGGAAATTTTTAACCATTGGCCGTAAAAAAATATTAACCGTAAAAAAATGTTAGCCGAGAATGTGAAAATCTCAAGATCGTCTTGTCAAGACTTCTCTGTGTCTTGTATTGTGACTTGCAAGCTATAATAGTCTACGGTTATTATAAGAACACCTTTTTCCGTCCTGGAATGACAGTAACACCATTCCATTAACAATAAAACTTAATTTTTGACTTTTTAAGACAATGGTGATTAATTTTTAAGATTTCTGTTCATGGTCAGCCAAAATTTTAACCGTTACTATAAATCGAGAAACAGATTAGAACTGAAAACTTGTTGAAATCCCAACTTATCGGAGACTATTTAAAAGACCAGGAGGGTTTGAACCCAGGACCTCCAGATCACAAGTCCAGCACCGTAACCACCGAGTCACGCCGCGCCCTTGGCACCTAATAAGTGGTGTACAACACGTACTCACCAGGCTAACGCTGGCTTGCTGGAGAAGTTGAAAATCATCATCGAAATTTAGGAGGGTAGACAGACCCTGAAAAATACCGTAAGCGAAATAAAGATATCAGGAAAACCACTCGCAGGCTTTTCTTAAAATTATATATACAGAAGTCAAGATGTCCTAGCTTTTTGAAGAAAACACTTATAACTGAACTGAACAGAAGATTTAGTATTAATATATACTAAACTCGTTCAAATACCTTAATTCGAGAAAATTATGGGGTTAATTATAGTAATACCACTAGTAACACTTTATTTATATAACGCTATTTCTATCGCTATCTATCAAAATAAAAACTAGGAATATTAAGAACTAGGAAGTAGTTATTTTAAAGGGCCGTTAATTAAAATACTTCGAACAGACGCACCTTTTGACTGTATCATTTTCATTTATTAGGCACTACATGAAACTGACAAGAAGACTCTCTCTTTTGGAGATTTATTCATATTACGGACCGGTCATGAAAGCATGGGAAAGGGCTACCTTTTTTCACTCAATAAAGGCATACGAAAGGGTTACCTTTTCTGTCAAAATGGCATACAAAGGGTAAGG